ATTCGATGGCTAGCTATTTTATCTACTGTATAATGATAATCCCAATTAAAAATGAATGAGCAAAAAAATGGTAATACGTAAACAAAACTGATCGATCTTTTCAAATAAAAATTTGTATGAGTTATATCTTCTTTTTTTTCAAAGCTCCATCAATAAGATTTGAATAATTTGTTCTAATTAATTTTTCATTTAACATACACTTACTAGATATCGAAGAAAAATCATCTAGTCTCCAAAGGCATAATGTTTCTAAATTGGGCATAGAGCTACTAAGAAAAGGCATAAGATATATTTATTAGACAATACAAATCGATTCTCATGCCTAGAAGTAAGACGAAAAATAGCTAAATAAATCATTTTTAGTTATGAAATTTGACTCGTCGAAAAGAAAATGACAAATTTTGAATGATGGATGTTGGTACGTGTCTTCTATTTAGTCATATTCTCACCCACACCCGGAATCTGAAGTGTGTTTCTTAGAATACATTGCCGATGTTGAATTGTACAAATGAATCAATGAAGGTCGAACATCTATATAAAAAGACAGTTACTATCACATTACCATGGTAATGTGACGGTAACTGCGTTTCCCTGGAAAATAATGGTATCTTGGACTTTTCTGTAAGATATTTTTTCTCATACAACTCGACAAGTTCTATCCAAAAATAACGAAAAAAATCTCCTGAAATTTTAATTATTGTCTACGTTATATACATTGTGAATAGCTTAAAATTTGAATATCACAGTCTAGATACGCTAACAATAGCCTACATTTTAAATTTGTTAGTTTGTCAGTAAAAGCTTTAATTTGATCCGAATATATCTGATCTTATTAACTAATAAAAATCATGAAGTTGATTCTCTTTAAGAATCAAGTCGACATTGAAAGAGTATACAATAAATCTTTTGTGTACAATAAGATTAAAAAGTGAATTAACTTCTTCTTTTATTTATCTCATGTTGAGATATTCTTTATTTCACCTAAGAACTGACGATATTGATTGTTCAATATAATGTACTTGGTGCTCAAGAGGCACCATACTTATCGAGGGTGTATGTGAGTGTGGTTATAGATAGAACATACACCCACAGCCGCACCCTACCACTTTCTTAACAGTAACCTATTGCGCATATGTCAATATGTTTGGTTGTCATGGACTTTTTGAATGAAATGTTGCTGATGTTTAGTCTTGAAGCAATCGAATACGTGTAGCCGTTGCATGCCTTTAAGCATAGAAAAAATTTTAAATAGTCGCGTGTAAAAAGAAAAAGAAGAAGAAAAAAAAAGAATAGAAATCGAATCGATAATGGTTACTGATTCTCTAACATCAATTTTGTAAAAGAGAACGTTTTTTTATTATTTAACCACTATATACAAAAGCATTAGAAAAAGAAATTTAATTTGTTTCACATAGAACAATATTAAAATTTAACAAGATGATAAGTTCATCTTGGCCAAATACACCATGTCAAATGCAAAGGCCATCATTAATTGAGGATGATGATGACCATACTAATAATAAGAATGGAAAACAATTGCTATCAAAAAGTCTTACATTTGATAGGGAACCATTAAAACAAAAACGAATAAAAAGACTAAGTCGACCATCACCAGCTATAATTGAACAACAACTACAATGTTTAGGTCGAAGTTTACTTAGTAATGATAATTGGCGACAAGAGACAATGGCTGATGTTCGTATTAATGCTAAAAACGATTGAACAAAGTGATCAAAACATTCTCTTTGGCAAAGATAATATTTTTATTAAAAGTAAGTCAATATAAATATTTAATTCAGATATTGATCCATTACTATATGTACGTGGCATGCTTAATGAATTGAGTAATACAGAAGCTTTCCTTTATACTCGACAATGTCGTATTGTTGTTGGTAAATTACGTTTATGTTGGAGTGATGTTAATGAAGAAATAAAATCATTATTAAAACATAAAGAATATATAGAAGCAGCTATTGAACATATTCGAAAAGATTTAATAATTAATAAAGAGAGTGTTAAAATACAAAAAAGAAACAAAACGAGAAGCGCTAGTTTTATTTTATATTTTTAAAAGATATTTGTATTCTGATCAATAGAAACCTGATGGTGTTGATGATAGACTTGCTGCAGAAAAATATCATTTAATATTATTGATCAAATACAGATATAAAAAATCTTGAATGATTTTTTTTATTAATTAAAATATTTAGAAACTTGATGAAGTTCGTTAACATGTAACTAAAATTGGTAGAGAACATTTGAATTGGCTCTTTTTGAAAAGTAAATAATCATTTTATGCAATATTATTTGTTTGTTTGTTTTTATAGATTAGATAATTTACAACAACATCAACCACCATTGACAGTACTTCCTCAACTATTATCAACTCTTGGTTTTCGTCTACCATGTACACCTCAAAATAATTCAATAACTTCATCTAATTCAAATTTAAATAATACAAATATTTCAACAGAAGCAACATTATTGAATGAAAATAGTTCACTACTTGGTGGAAATTTACTTGCTTTTACATCAGATGTTATGCAAGTATTTCAAGATACAACAAAATTAATTGAAGAATCATATGAAATTAAAAAACAAGCGATGAATCAAATAAAAGATACAAAAGCTTATTCATTAACTGTTAATCAAAGTATTGCTCAAAAACTTGCGGATATTATTACATTAGCTGTAAGAATATTGTTTCATTTCAAAGACTAGAGTTTTGTTAGAATTAAGAGTTTCTGATAGGAATGGAAGTTAATTGAGACGATTAAAGATTGTTAAGATCTCAGTCAGAGTTAGTCATCTAGGATACACAGATGACCAACTACATGCAATTTAATTTAATTCATTTAAAGAGAGTTTTTTGACTAAACTTGCAATTTTTGAAATGTTTTAGTCAATTCAGCTCAACTGAATTCATCAATTTCGAAAATTGTTATGATGTGATTACACTCAATTTAAGATTTGAACTAAGTTGAATCGACCTTTTTGCATTGAATTGTTCAATTCTGATCTCGGCCATTCTTGAGGGTGTGGATGCGAGTGTGGTCTGGAGTTATTTAAAGTGTGCACCCACACCCTTTTTCTTTCTTTCATTCTTGTCAGATATTCGTTGTTCTTGCTGATACTGTGGAGTATCATCATCATGTGTCTCTTTTTTTGATAGACATATTGTCTTTCGAGAATATATTAGAAGATTTTGACTCTTCTTTTTCTGGTCTCATTGATGAAGTCAAATTGTTTTTAACTTTATCAAATAATCTATTTGCTTGAAACAATGGGTAACACTATGGCAGATAACGTATATAAAAGAACTTGAAAAAGAACATTTCTGAAAATTGAGCTTGAATGTCTAAAATTATTATAAACCTAATACATAATTTTTATGCCAGGATGATGACAGTTAAAATAAAATTTCGTCCTCAAAAGTTTCAATGATATATCAAAGAATCTATAGATCATTTTGGGTATTATAATGATTTATTATTTATTTATCTTAGTATCTAATTTTCGTATTACTTGTCAGAATACTAAAAAACATTTTTGGCTCTAGTAATAGAAAGATCGAAAAGAAAAATGTTGAAAAAAAAGTTGTCTCTAGTAAACGCTGACTTTTATGTCGTCTATCTTTATTATTATTGTTCTGCTCATTCTATTGATCTCGTGATATAGTCATTAGTAAAGATGATGAGTAATATTTGACAGAAAAGAGCTAGCTAGAATAATCAGAAAAATAAAGTAGTATTATACAAATGAAAATATATTATCATGACAAACAGCTGTTTTGATATGTAAGCTTATTGAAAGTTTTCATAAAATTCGAATCATCAATTGATTACAATGTGACTGTCAACCTCTAGAAAAAGAATATAT